GTGTGTGTGTGTGTGTGTGTCTGTCATGCTCCTCCTGCTATTCTATTATACAGTGTTCACCAGACTGTTGGAGGTTTCCAGTTTCTACACTGTGTGTGCGTGTGTGTGCGTGTGTGCGTGTGTGTGTGTGGACTCAACGGTCTGCCACCTGGCTGGCGAGTGGTGCAGTGGGGGGGTAATGTACCACACTGTACCCAATCAATGTGAGTGCTCATTGGGCTGGGCATAATATCTCCACACACACACACACACACACACACACACACACACACACACACACTCTCTCTCTGTTTTCAAGGTTAATGGCTCAGTGCTCGTCAGTAAAAGCTCGGTTCTCATCACAGAATTTAAATGTCGGATATTTCCTTTGTTACAAACTTTGTGTTCGTCTCTGATAAAACTTTGATGTCTGTGTCTTCTCGTGTTTGTTAAACGATAAGTTAATTAATTGACCAGTAAAAGATTTGAGTTGCTGGAGAATCAACGATAAAGAAACTTCGGTTTTCATCACGTCTCGTTATCCAGAGCTGGAGGAAGGTTGATGATTCAATATTCAGTCTCTTAACTACACGTGTCTGCTCATGGGCACTAAGGCCTCGTGGCTTCGGTGGGTTTCAGACCTGTGACCTCAGCCTCTGTTGTCTGTTGTGGTTGGTGCTGGTGTCGTCTGGCGGAGGAAGTGAAAGCAGACAGGCCGAAGTCAAACCTCGGCTGAACTCGGCGCAGAAGCAAAAGATAGAAGCTGCAAACTGAAGCTTTCATGAAGGAAACTGTCACATCTCTCCTCACTGTCTCAGGAGGAGAGGAGTCCGTAGATTCGAGAGTTATCTGTTTCTCCTCATCCTAACATCTTCTCCTGTCCTCTCCTGTTCATCTACTCTACCTCTCACCGGTTGTTTTTCTTCGGGACGTTTTATCCTCACAAACCCGCAGCACATCCATCCATCACTTTCTCTCTCCGTCCCTCCGCACAGCCTCAGATCACATCAGACGAGACACTAATCCAAACAACAGGATTAACAGACGAGAAGCTCCACATTCCTCAATATAAAGAGCGTGTGTGTGTGTGTGTGTGTGTGTGTGTGTGTGAAACATAATCACGCACCGTCGGTCGTCCTGCTGAAGTTAATGAACAAACCCCTTGAGGTGCAGAAGCAGTCGGTCGTTACACATTCCCTCCCTGACCTGGAGATCCAGTGCTTTCTGACCCTGGATAGTTCTGAGCACTTGTGTGTTGTTCGGGAGTCGGCTCCCCTCGCCTCCACATCTCAGATAGACTTAAAACCCCCTCTCCTCTGTCCACCTGTCTCTCCAGGAGAGCCCCGGGCTCCAGACTGAGTGCTAACCATGCTGCAGCATTCCCAACCAACGTCCAGCACCCTGCAGCTGGTGGCCAACGATATGACCGGCATCATGGACAAGCTCGACAGCCGCGAGCTGGACCTGGAGGACGGAGAGTACGACACGACGGACACCAACGTCGCAGGTGTGTGTTGTTCACCAGCTGCATGTTCATTGTGTGTGTGTGTGTGTGTGTGTTTCCTTCACGTTACATGTGTGACGTTTCCTCCGCTGCTTCTCTCCAGCGGAGCATTTGCCTTTCAAGGTGATCTACCACACTGTGGGTTTCAAGGAGTCCGAGGCCAAAGTCTTCCTGTCCTCTCCCATCACGGCCAAGATCCTTGAGGTGGAGCGCTTCACGTCAGCTCAGGACCGCTTCAACATCACCGCGCAGAGGAGTGTCAACAAGGTGCAGACTCCTCCCCTCACCCTCCTGTCCCCTTTGCTCTTGCTGTTTGTAATGTCCACGTGACGCTTCGTCTCGTACGTTTTCAGAAGACGTGCACAGAATTTGTCCTTTTCCCCAAATGTATCCGATGTTGAATTTTGCCAACGAGTCACTGGAATTAGATTTTCAGAGAATCTGATGTTAAATCATCAAATTATCAAGCGTTAGCCAAAACATGTTCAGTTTAACTCAAAGACCGAGGGAAACAGTTAGCTTTTGTTAGTTAGTTAACGAGACCAGGATATTGTTTGAACCAATGAGAAAAATGCAAATATGAAAGAAAAGTGTTTGAAAATGTTAAAAAAGTTTGTTGATGTTTTGCTTGTGTCAGTGCAGCGCCCTGATTGGACGTATCGGTCGAGATGTGCATCAAACAAATAGGATAAAAGTTCTTTTAAACAAACGCAGCCAGAGTTGACGTCTCTCAGGGAAACTTTTTGAGGGAAGTCAGTCGACAGTCGGCTGACGATGAGTGTGATGAGATAAGAATCGCTGAAGGGGCTCGAGCAGTTGTTACGTCTGCTCCTGAAGCGTCGACAACGAAGTGGTGACCATTAAAGTGAATGTCTAAGTTGAGCTCCTGTGTTCAGTCCCTGCCAGCGGTGTTTAAGATCGAGCTGAAACACGGGGAGTTCACATGGCTGGTGAAGAGGAAGGAGAAACACTTCATGGATCTGCACCGAGAGCTCAGGACGTACAAAACCTTCATGAGGCTGCCGCTGCCGTCACGCAGGTAAACACTCGCCATCACAAAGTGAGGAGCAGATCCGAGCTCTTTGACTTCGATGCTTTCTTGTTACCGTTCACACATTCGTCCCACTGGTCCTTTACCTTCTACGAGCTGCTCACCGGTGGTCGGTCATGTCTCTCGGCAGCCACACAATAAAGCGGCACCCGGGGGAGAGGAGCGAGGTGAGGCAGATGCCGAACCTTCCCAGAGGAGGCCGAGACGAGCTGGCCAGAGAGGAGCAAGTGTCCAGTCGCAGGGTTTGTCTTTTTCCTCTTTTTCTTTTTCACACATGTTTGATTTTACGAACCTCACCAGCTGATATTTCTCTGATTTCTTTCCAGAGACAATTGGAAGATTACTTGAACAAGCTGCTCAAGATGCCGATGTACAGGAACTACCACGCCACGGTGAGGACGACAGATGTTCCGGGAAAACAGCAACGAGAAGTTTCATGTTGCTGGTTTAAGATTTTGTATTTTTTATTGAACATTTTAGATGGAGTTCATTGATGTGAGTCAGCTGTCCTTCATCCATGACCTGGGACCAAAAGGCCTGTAAGAAATGATTTCACTTTATTCATTCTCAAAACTGTCCCATCCAATAAGATTTGTTTGTATTAGTAATTGTATTTAAAGCTCCAGTGTGTCAGATTCAGGTGAAAGGGACTATTGGCAGAAATGTGATGTGCAATAATCCTCATGATGTTTTCACTAGTTTGTTTCATCTAAATTATATGAATTGTAGTTTTTTTTACCCCAGAAAATACCCTTTATATTGAAATACTTTATATTGAAATACTTTATATTTAAATACTTTATATTGAAATACTTTATATTGAAATACTTTATATTTACATGGAGGGGACCCTCTCTATGGGGGGGGGGTTCAGCTCCAACATAGATGTCACTAAATTCTACACAGTACGATTTTTGCTCTGGGATTAAATATCGGTACTTGTGCAATTTTCCTTTTGTTTGTGTGCGAACATGAGCTTTCTGTGCGTTTCAGAGAAGGAATGGTGCTGAAGCGATCCGGCGGCCATCGAATCCCCGGGTTGAACTGCTGCGGTCGCAGCAAAATGTGCTACCGCTGGTCCAAACGGTCAGTTGTCACACAGACAGAAAACAAAACAGAAGATTCTCTCTGTGTGAGATCAGTCACAGACGAACACTGTCTCTAAGTTCTCCTGGCCCTGTGTGTTCGGACAGCTGGCTGGTGGTGAAGGACTCCTTCCTGCTGTACATGAAGCCGGATTCAGGTGCCATCTCCTTTGTGATGCTGGTCGACAAAGAGTTCTGCATTAAGATGGACTCCAAAGACACGGAGACCACGCACGGTGTCCGCATCGACAGCCTGTCCAGGTCAGTGACACGCGACGACTGTTTGAAAGTGATTTAAGGGGATTGCTCTGTTTGACCTCTGACATCACGAGGTTCCGTCTCTACCTTGTTTTCAAGCCGTGTTGTCTGCGCAGGTCTCTGGTGCTGAAGTGCAGCAGCTACCGACACGCCCGCTGGTGGGGTCAGTCCATCGAAGGCTTCGTCCACAAGCACGGCTCGGCCTTCCTCACCGACCACCGCTTCGGATCCTTCGCCAGAGAGGAAGAGAACATCCCTGCCAAATGGTAACCCGCGGCGACCGACTGACGCCGCCCACCGGTGTTGCGTTCACATTTAACGTTTCTCACGACATCTAGATCAGATGGGCCACTTCGTTCAGCTCCGTTTAATCTCAGCAGTTTGTTCCACTTCCCCCCCGAAGAGAGACGTTGATGCTGAATGTGTTAAAACAGTTAAATAATGTGTGTTAATGAGGAAAACACCTTCTGGTGCCAACGTTAATGTGACGCAAATTAGCTCCAGGCAGCCGACATGAGACCTGGTCCAGTAGGCTGTGTGTGTGTGTGTCTGTCTGAGGGTGTGTGTGTGTGTGTGTGTGTGTGTGTGTGTGTGTTTTGCTGGAGTAACCTGACACAAAGAGAGGGAAAGTGAGCCTCTTCTGCTCGTCACCTGTCCCCCTGCTGGGCAACACTATACTGTCTGTGACACCGCCTGTGTGTGTGTGTCTGTCTGTGACACCGCGTGTGTGTGTGTCTGTCTGTGACACCATGTGTGTGTGTGTGTGTGT